CCATTATGCACAACCTCAGCATTACGCTAAGTGTACTCTTAAGTATGATCCATGTACTCCTCAAACCACCTTTTCACTCCAAAAAGTCCTTAATCAGTTAAGATAAATTGTCAAACTCTCAGATCTAATTCCATAAGACTACTTATCACGTAAAGTTGGCAACTTTACGTGCTTACATGGAAAAAGGGACTCGAAAGGTCAATAAGGACTTAACAAAGATCTTAATGCTTGCATGGACCAAAATACACCATAAAGATTGCATTTTTATGAACCTTAGGATTGAATGGAGCTAAGACCTAACACCCATTTCTTCTAGAGTAGATTAAAAACCCATCTTTAACACAAAGACTCCAAAATGCATAAAATACTCCATAAAATAGATCTAACATATAAGATTATCAAGATAGAAACTTTATACCTCCAAAATGTAGATCAAGATGCAACAATTTTGGATCCAAAAGCTTCAAGAAATCACACGCTTCTCCAAGAAGTTCCTTCTTCTTCTATGAACACCAAAAAGTATGAAATACCACCAAAGCTCAAAAACCACTCAAATGGGGGCTAGATTTTCGATTCTAGGGTTTAGAGGGATGGAGGATGAAAATATTAGGGTTAGGTGATGAGATAAGGAGCTTAAATAGGATCCAATACCCTAAAATAGGATTTGGGTCTGAGTGGAGTACGATATGCGTAATTCCTATACGCCATGCGTAGTCCAAAGAACATCCGTGGCCACTTTTCTTAGTATGCCCAACCTACGCTAATGTACACATCGCGTACTGACCTTAACCCTAGTACGCCATGCATACACTTTTGTATGTCCCGCGTACCTGGTTAAACCCTAATTTCACCAAACTTCCGAAGGCCATAACTTCTTCGTTATAAGTTTGTTTTCGACAATCCTTATATCCAAGAAAAGGTAACAAGAAGCTCTGCATTTCTAATAACTCATACTTACCTTCCGGAACTAAAATCCAATTTTCATATAAACCCGAACCGAAACTTTATTGATATACCTCTTAGCTCCAAAACACAACCCAAACTCTCGTATCATCTAAGTTACATCACCCACACCCAAATCCTGATGATACCCAATCTTTAGTCACCACCGCGCATTAGGAAACGATTTGGACCAGGGCATTACACTTAAAGCATAAGGAGACAAGTAGAGCTTAGGGACATAAGGTGCTTAAAATGTTAAGGAATTATGGTCCAAGAATTCACTTTATGCCTATAAATATGAGGCTTATATTTCTCTCTTTCTTCTTAATGCACAAAAATGTAAGATGCATGGGTGAATGCTTACTCACTCCTTTTTTCATCTTATAAAGAATATTTGTCTCTTATTTTCTCTCTTGAAGTTCATATTTGGATATGAACTTTAAGCTTAAGAGTTATATGAGTTTTACAAGACTAGCATCTTAAATCAAGTTGGTTTCATGTTGGTATCTCGAAGGTTCCACATTCTCCATCAAATTCCAAGCCTTCCTTGAGGATTCAAAGTCTACAAAGGTTGTTAAACTCTTCTTCTTCTTTTGTGCTTGTTTTCTTTCCATACTTTGGAAGAAGATCCATGGTTGGTTATAACTTTTTTATAATTTTTCTAAAATACTCGAGTATTTTGTTGCTAAAATCATGTTTATGAAACTAATTTTGAATAAAAACCCAAAATTTGACGGGAAAAATTTTATGTTTTGCAATGCCATTAACTAGTTAGGTGTCCCTAGAAGCATGATGCAGGATGTTGTCCTAAGCCTCATAGATTCTTTGTTTGTGAAGCCTTAATGAAATTTCTTAATTCTAAGAATTTCTTTCTAATAGATTGTACTAGCAGAAATCATCGAGCTACCTTTCTCTACTCATGTTCGGAGTTAATAGATGCATGCTTGGTCACTTATTCTTATAACAGAGGTAATATGGTCTTTCTTAACCAAACTTCGAACCCATAACATCCCAGGTTTAAACAAACTTGAAATAGGTTTCACAATTTCTAAACCATAATGAATTGACAGTGAATTGAAAAAATCTAGCATGAAACTATGAATTGACAGAGAAATGCGGTATGTTTTACTATACCCTAATTTCATGGTTAAAATATCAAAATTCATTTGTTTGTGAGATTGTAATGAGACTGATTTATTCCATATCGTTTCATCCCAATGGATGTAGATTTTCTTTTCTAGGCTATAGGATTTTCGTTTGAACATTTGTAATCCTTTTGTCAATTACATCTTACAATTCATTTCTTGAAATGGTTACACTGATCATTAAAGTTTTTTCTTTCATATCACTGCACTTATGTTAAGTTGCATATATTTTTGAAAACTACCCTACCTTTTAAACCAATCAAAAGAGACCCTTCCTCACTTCTTAACAAGTTGATGATTGTAATTTAACGAGAAACCACATTGACACTTCAAGGTCTCTCTTGACTTTACAGGAAGAAAATCTTTGCTTGGGATCACATTACTTTCATATCAAAGTTTATTTTGAATATCACCTATTCCTATAACTTTTGTTTGGTTATATCTTTTTCTTTGGCACACTCTTGCACTTAAAATCCTCTTGGTCTCAAGTACAACCAACTTGAACCATGATTTTAGCAATTCTAGTTTATGATTCCAATCATTATAAACTTGATTATGATGAGACTCTTTTTTACTTGGTTCTGCAAACCGAAATCGCATGTATTTATGTTGCGAACAAATCCTTTTTGATTCTTTTGCGAAGACATTCATGCAAACACAATGGAAGACGGTTGTTTTATTTCTGGTGAAGATAGACTGAGCATACAAGTTCTTATTAGACCTCTTTAACATGATGATTAGTGTGGTACTCAACTCTAACATGGGGTTAGATGGATAATTATGGGATGTCTTTGGCGATTTATCTCTCCTAGAAACCTAAAATTTTCAAATTCAAACATGACGATTGCCATTCTACTATGTATAAATACCCAAAATACACATAATTATTCTTGTTACGCATTCAGACGATTCATAGAGACAAAGAGTATTGCAAGCTATACTTCTCCTTTTTTCGAATTTTTATGTGTTTTCATTAATCAAATCCCAAATGGAGTCATGTGTTGATCATATTTCCTTTATTGATCAACCCATTTCACCATATCATCTCATTATCAAGAAAATCATAATATAATTGTTGATTTGATGCATCCAAGCACTCTACTGATGTTCAACCAAAAATTTATTGTCTAAATCATTCAATTTTGAAGAGGGCATAAACTCATCATGAAGATGTTCCTCTTTCTGCCCTGATTTTGGTTTTACCTTCTGCAAGTTACAATAAGAAGATGGATGTGATGATTTTCAATGCTCAAGGGCACAAGATTGCAATTACCAAGAATGATTTTTTTCAAGTTGTTACGGTTGAAAATTGGTGATGCTAATACAAACCATGAATTGGTTTCTTCCTCAAGTATAATGGTTACAATTATGATTTGTACGTGTTGTAGAAATTCAGAAAGTCTTCTCTGCCACCAATATGGATTGTCCTATTTACTATATTGTTTCGATGCTTCTCAGAAAGGGTTACTGGTTTAGATAATTCCAACAAGTTATTCCACGCTTTATTATCACTACTAGAAAAAAGACCTTTAACGACGCGCTTTTTACGACACGCGCTGATTAACGATACGCAATAGGACGTGCCCTTAAAATAGTGTTATCTCTCCAAAAAAAGGTAAGGATTTACGTCACGCATTATTGCGTGCCCTTAATTTAGTGTCTCAAGAAAAAAAATTAGAAACACGGAGGGCGCTTTATCTTAAACGCACGTCGTCTGTACATGTCGCTTTATAATTTTAATGAAACGCGCTTTTAGTTAATGAAGGGGGAAACGAAATCCCCAAAATTTTGAAAACCCGCCTTGTTTTTTCTATCTTCTATCTATTTTTCATCCTTGCAATCCAGTCTCCCCTCTCTGATACTCTCTCCTCTAGATCTCCCTTCATTCTCTACCTCCCGTCTCTCTGTAAACCTCGAAGGTGAATCGTAATTGATCTGCGAGGTCTCCTTCTTTTCTTTGTTTTCTCAGGTACAACATCATCCTAATCCATTAACCCCTTTCATTTTTCATTAAAAAAAACCCTAATTGACTTGGCAAGTTCATGAACCAGATGTAGCACATTCCAAACTAGGGATTTAACCAAACCCGATAGATCCATTGATGGAATCTTCCGATCCGGTCAATAAGGACTCTCTGTAATCACGCAACTTTCTTCACAAGGGATCGCTCCAGGTCTTCAATCTAGCAATCTACAATGTCCACTATCAAGTTACATCGAATCAAGGTCTAGGGTTTCAAATGCTTCAAGTTCTTCCCAAATAATTTCCCCTCTCAAGACGATTCTCCTTGATCGTATCTTTATGGAAATGATTCTATCTCGATCGGATCGAAGACCACTCACTCTCTCCTTAGATCTCCATGTGAGTCTGATCCCCCCTCTCTGTAACAGCCTCGCTTCCTTCCAAAAATCGAAGACCATTCTCTCTCGATCGTCTCTTTATGGCGAAATTTAGACACAATAATCTCAACATAAAATTCGTAACTGAACTCCTCTTCACCTCTACCCTACTCCATCTACAATGACTCCTTAAATTTACAAACCCTAGTCCATTTGCGCTTCTAGTCAAATCAGGTACCTATCTATCTGCTTTCTGAATTCTCCTGGATTGGAAATTTCTTGATACTTCGCTAGCTTTTAAACAAACAAAAATCAGTTTTTCTCTCAATAATTCGTTGGATTTTTCATTGGTGTTCCCCTTACTGGCTTCGATAACCTCTCTAATCTGTGAGGTTTTTGTTTACTTTCTTGCCCTCCCTCTCTCTAAGAAGAAAATGCAGCCTCATCGCCTTCAATCACCCAACGACATAGGTGGAACTCAAACTTCTCAGACCAAAAGAAATATTGTACGAAAGAAAAGCTATCCATTAATGGAAGAAGTGCAGGGGGGTTGCTTATTGGTGCTGTTGTGAACATGAGACCTGATTTATTTAAGGCTACTATAGCTGGAGTACCATTTGTAGATGTTGTGACTACAATGCTTGGTCCAACTATTCCTCTTACAACTGCAGAATGGGAGGTGATTTATATATAATATTTTTTTGTTTTGGAAACTCAAACCAGGATGCTATGATAATATTAGTATGTTTCTTTCTAAATGTGAATGACTTGCTCTATTGCAGGAATAGGGTGATCCTCGGAAAGAAGAGTTCTACTTTTACATGAAATCATATTCACCAGTTGATAATATGAGTGCCAATGTATCTTGTTTCAGTTTAACTGACATAAATCCATCTGACATATCATCAAATGAAAATGTTGAAGTTAATTACTGATGGGTGTCTATTTTGAATAGGTAAAAGCTTAGAATTATCCAGCCATAGTTGTTACTGCTGGAATAATGGTAGGTTGTCAAAAGTGATATTCAGGATGTGATTGATAAAGATGGTGAGGGGTTCACTATCGTCACAAAAAAATCTGGAAATGCAGGGACTGCTACTGTGAAGGGGTACGGTACAGGTGATATTCATCCCAATGTTTCTGGAAGCAAAGGTAGTAATTGGAATGGAGGGAATAACAAAAGAGGAAGCTATAATAGTGTTAATAAGGGTAATAAAGGTTGGAATAACAGAAGTCATAATGGGAATTGGAATAGGGGGAGTGTTAGCCATTGGAATCATCAAAAGAAACACGAGTTTGTTGCTGCAAATAATAAATCTTTCATTGTAGATAAGCAGGGGCATAATGGGAAAGAGAGTGTGGATTCTAGGAAAAAAGAGGAAAAAGTGGAGAAGGGAAAGGATTTTAAGGGTAGCCAAATTATAAATCTTTCATTGTAGATAAGCAGGGGCAGTCTTCTCCTGATTCTATGGAAAAGGTTGTCACATAATCAACTTTGTGATTGTATATTGATGATTATAGATTGGTGGCTTTGAGAATCTAACAATAACTTTAACTTTTTTTTCTTGCAGATATCAGCAGAATCCTGTCCTACTTCTAATCTGTTGGTCAATAATTCTGACAGTGGTCAAATTGAGGCTATAGAATCTAAGTGTGATACCAGGGTGAATTCCAATCTTGGGAACCATGATTGTTTAAATCCTATGAATGACATCCTTGATACCATGTAAGTTTGAAAATTTAATCATTGCAACTTACTAAGTATCAAAATAAGAAGGTTGGATGTTTTACTTTGTGATGTTTTTTTATTTATTGTTTTAGATGATTTGATTTCAAAGGTGATCAAGGTTCTTCTAGAAGAGATTGAGACACTAAGAAAATGAAACCGGGATGCTGTGTTGGTGAGCCAATATCTTTTTGAGCTTAGAGAAGTCAAGAAACAAGGGAGAAAAGAGAGAAGGCACAAGGAAGCCCAGGATGTGCTTGCAGCTGCAACTACTACTGTTGCAGCTTCTTTCAGGCTTTCATCTTTCAGGAAAGATACACTTGAAGAATCCGCTCACCATGAGGTAGTTGACTCTCATTTTGTTAGATAACATTTTTAGGGGTAATTTCGTCAGTAAAAACCGTTCTTATAATGTGATTTCTCTAAAAACTATCATTTCAGGGTGTTGAAAGTTCGTGCACACAGTGAATCTTGTAGAGCTGTTAGATTTATCAGTGAAGGACTTGGTAATGAACCAACATTGTTTATACTTTATATACTCTTGAGCCATGTAATTTACTTTTTACCCTCAGTAGCAACATAGTTGCTATTTCTTTAAACTTGATTTTGAATGTGTGTTTTTGTCATCAGTGATCCTCACTGGTTCTCCATATTGTTCTATTCTTGCAATTGATATTGAAACAGGATCTCCAGTTAGTTATGGATGGATGTTCATACAATTAGGTATTATTTTCAATATTCATACAGTTAGTTATGGATGGATGTTCCAGGTGGGGGCAGATGTGCCCGCGCAAATCTTTAAGATGTCTCCCCGTTGATCGTATCTTTGTGAGGATGGGTGCAAAAGACCATATTATGGCAGGCCATGTGACTTTTATGATGCAAAGAGAGAGCTTCTGTGAATAGGTGGGGGCAGATATTACTTCATAAATTATTGTTTTTTCTATATATATATATATATATATATATATATATATATATATATATATATATATATATATATATATATATATATATTAACAAGTTTGACTTGTCAACACGTGTAGAATGCAAATGATCCCACAAATACATTGTAGGTGAGGGTATAAAATGTTTAATTACCCTTTTACCCTTGAGGCTCGGGTTTAAATATTTACACAATTTTTTTACAGCTGTGAGAGGGTATGGTTTATCCTACCCGTCATCTTCAGAGGTCCGCGTCCGGTTTTTACTGAATACACCTAGCATGCTGAATCTTAACCAAGAATCATTCTTTTTACTTCACAGACATTTGAACATTTCTATTTGTTATCAGAATTGTTACTTTGCTCTAAGAAATAATTGTCATAAACGGATTACTCTACCATACACAGGGGACAAATACCTGCTTCATAAACAAAGCACAAAATGGATCACAGTTATGACAATGGCGCCTCCAAGGCTGGAAAAGGGTGTCGGGGTGTTAGATAAGCCAGTAATAGAGAAAACAACTCCTGGAAGAGAGTCTGAGTTTGACTTGAGGTATTGTATCACTTTCAATGAAGTTTGAAATGCATAAAGTAAAAGATTAGGTCGATTTACCTTTTTTTTTTTTTTTTTTTTTTTTTTTTAAGGAAATCAAGGAAAATGGCACCACCATATAGAGTGATGCTACACAATGACAACTACAACAAGAGGGAATATGTTGTGCAAGTATTGATGAAGGTTATACCTGGAATGACAGTTGACAATGCAGTTAATATTATGCTCTTGACCTGGACACCACTCTAATAGGGCTTTTCCAAAAAAAAATTGACCATCTTGAAAATATTCCAAAACCATAGGGTGGAAATATCTCTGCAATTACATGTGATTTATCAGTAAGTATAATCTTTAATTTTAATCCATTCAAATATGTGACATGGTTTTGTTTAATTTATTTATATTTATACTCATGTATATAATGTATAAAAAAATTACATAAACAGGAATTATGTAAAGATTGGTTATCAATTTTAATGATTGTTACTTCTGCACGATCTTCAATTAACATAAGACATTTGGAGAAAGCAACAGTGTCTACTGGAAAAGAAGGCTTGTTATCCGAAGGGAATGGTCTACTGGAAAAGAAGGCTTGTAACATTTTTGGTTCTTGTTCCCAACTTTACTTGGAACAGGGGCCGAAAGTGTAACTTACTCTAAATTTTATATGTAAATTTTATTTTATATTTTGAAGGAAAATTTACTGAATATTGATTGGTTGATGCAGTTAACTAGAATTGGTCGAGATGCAGTTTTATATGTTGAGTCGCTCACTGAGTCAATCATGGGAGGATTTGAAGAGCTAATCAACATTCTTGATTCTGAAGGAGGTTTTGGCTCTTTGGAGACACATGTTCTTACTATCAATTTCCTTAAAAAGTTACCAAATTCATGTATTAAATTTGATAAAGCTAACTTAATTGCTTTTTTTAAATCCTAGCTTCTACCAAAAGTCAGCTGAAACTACAAAGGGCTTTTGATGGGCAGGAAAGATATATGAAGGTATGATTTATATTGTAATTCAGATTCTATAACTTTTATCATGTAATCTCTTAAGTCTTAATACCCATTATTCCTTATGCATGTAGAGATCTTGGGAGCCAAGTGATAAAGCTGATCTTCACTTTGTCTACAAAGATGTTGAAGGAGTATCAACTCAATGGGATGATATTCAAAGAAAACTCAGGAACTTACCTCCTAAACCCTCTGCCTTCAAACCCGATCCCTTCACTCCTGCAGAAGACGAAGATTCCAAACCTAAAACCAAATCTCGGATCAATAAAAAGACAGAAGAACTCAAAGATTTAGAAGATGATCCTGATGATAGTTGTTTCCTCAAAGAATACAAGTACCTTCAACTCCCTTAATCCTAATATCATTTTATGAGGGTATTAAATTTCATGTGATATTTTCATGGTTTCATTTTCTTTTGTGTTCTTGAAGCAGAAAGAGGTTAGCAGAGATGAAGCAAACAGTGGAAGTTTGAACTCGGAAAGTTCGGGCATCATCTATGGTGGCCCGAGCAGCATCTATTTCAATATTGATTGTGTGAAAGTCATCTACTAAAGCAAGGTTGGTGTAAGAGTTGATGATGAGAACATTGTTCCAAGACCTTCAGTGAGTTATGATGATGTCCCTTAATAGCAATGTAGTATTAGGTTAGATAGTTACCGATGATTACTTGTATTTGACATTTTATGCAATGAATTATCTTACTTATTTATTGTATGTTATTTTGTATCTTGTATGACATTAATTTTTGTGCAATGGATTGTATTTTTTGTATATGGTGGTTTATTTCTATTAGGAGAAATTAAATGCAAATTTAATTTAAAAATTAATAAATATATAAATTTATTTTTTTAAACATTTAAATTTACGATACGCAAAAATGTGTGTCATCTTCATTTATGACATGGCCTTTCTTGATACGCTTTGCGTGTCATTAACACGCGCGTCGTAAGGTTACGACACACGAATGCGTGTCGTCTTCCTTTATGACAGGGCCTTCCTTGATACGCATTGCGTGTCGTAAACGCGCGTCGTAATTGCGCGTCGTAAAAGCGCGTCGTCTCTCTTTATGACAGGGCCTTCCTTGACACGCATTTGCGCGTCGTCTGAGCCTTTTACGACGCGCAATGAGCGTCGTAAAAGGCTGTTTTTCTAGTAGTGTATGCACCTTGTATAATGAGAAAATTGACTTAGGTTAAATTCTCAGGGTTTATTTCACAATGAGTCCTTCTTCTTCTATAAAGGATTCTGATATTTCTTGTGCACTATTTAGCTCCATAGTAGTAAAGAATACAATTACGTTTGTTACCATAGTAGAGGATGTGAAAATAAACTTTGATAACAAATGATGATAAAATCATTTGTTATAAGGTTGCTGATGAGGATGTTCCTGCAAAGCCCATGTCTCAAAGGAAAATAAAAAAGAAAGCAAAGGTTTTTTAATTTGATTTTTTTTCATATTCAACTGTATATTTCTTTAGATTTTTTTCATAAAGTTTTAGGGAAGTAATATCTCAAAAAAAAAAAAAAAAAGAGAGAGTTGAAGAAATTATAGGATGTCATGTAATCTTTTTGTTTAACATATGGTCAAAGGTTTCTTTGAACTGAAAGTTATATTTGCAAAACGGATGGTGACTTTTTTTAACATATAATCAAAGGTTTGATTGAACTGTACGCTTTTTAAAATTTTCTTTTTCATCACCGCCAATCATTTCTATGTCTCTATTTGTGCGTGTTTGTGTCAATAATCATGTTAAACATTGTGTTTAGCTAATATTTTTGTTACATGATTATATATATATATATATATATATATATATATATATATATATATATATATATATATATATATATATATATATATATATATATATATATATATATATATATATATATCATATACCTATATGCGAAATCCTTTTCTGCAAGATGAGCATGTCCACGTCTATAGAAGCTTTTCCACCGACCAACCTCAGTCCTCCGTCATCTAGAGCTAAGCTACTTCTTTGTGTGCTTAAACTCCTTTTAGACAAGAATAGCATGACCACATTGGGATTGAAGAAACGGCGTCGTTTGGCTGCTGATGAAAACCACCTTGGTGCTTGCTTCCGGTCAGCCTGACATCACCATGAGGAAGAAGACTTGGTGGTGGGTTTTCCTTGTTGGCGGCGTCGTTTCTCTCGATGCTGCTTGCCACTCTTGGATCCCCTTTAATCAACACCTATCCTTGGTTTCAGTTGTCGGTCAAGAGACTTCATAGTGGGTTTTGCTCTTATACTTGCCACTTCCTGCTTCTAGCCTTGCCAGTTTTCATGATCGGCGGTTAGTGGCCCTGCCGACATCTCTATTTCCCGCCACGTTTTTGTCTGTATTCTACAACAACCGAAAATTGAGGTTTCATATTAACGCCCACCTCTTCTCTCTTCATTCTTCTCAAATTTTCAACCACAACCTTACTCTAAATACTTTTTATTCTATTTCTCTTTCTTTCGTTTGCAAAAGGATCCGCAGTAGTTTTCCCCACCGCCTCCTCGTGTTCCCCCGGACACCTGACGTTGTCGGCAGATGTCCCTGTTTCACCCACCAGATGACGCCTCCTGTTATGGTCTAGGTAATGGGTTCTATTTTTGTTGATGTTTATTTGTAGTAGAAACAATCAATTGAAATTCAGATCAATTGCTCTTCAATCGCTACAAACCGTCCCAATACACCGCTATAACAATTGGTATTTTGTTTTAGGTTTGCTTGGGTTTTAAATTCAGGGTTCAAGCTCGGTATAACCGTCAACTTGCAGGTTTGATTCTACAATCTTACCTCTTGTGTTTTGATTCTAGAATCTGATTGGTTATCTTCTCCAAATTCTTGCAACTCATGTTCTTAGTATCACTATTGATTTCATTTAACATTAAGATTTTTTTAAACTACCGAACTGAAAAAAAAAATAGTTTGATGCTTCAAGGTAGAAGCGTTTGACGATTTTACCAAGTACAAATATGTAATAAATCAAAGAGTAAGTTATTATTGTGGAAGGAATACGAGACATCAGTCTGGGGAAGCTGATTTCCTTCAGTCATAACCCAAGAGCATGATTCTGTTATGCTCACCCACTTGTTACTGAGATTTGAAAGAAAGTTTCATGATGCACATCAACTGCTTGATAAAATGATTGAACCAAGGTGCCCCAGTCCTTGAAGGATAATAAGGAGCAACATGGGAGAATTTGAGCCAATTAAATAGAATACAGGGATTGGAGGGGAAGGTTTATGCCTTTATGGGCTCAATTCAACTTTAGAAAGTGAAGGAAATCATCTCAAAAACATCAACAATGAGGTACATACAGCAATATTAAGGTATTTACATCGATGAGCAGCTTCCCTACCGACCACCCTCATGACTCCGTCATCTGGAGGTAAGCTTCCTGTGTGGGTGCTTAAACACCTCTCAGCCCTACATCAGGCTCATGTGACATTGGGATACAAGAAACGGCGTCGTTTGGTTCCAGATGAAGCTGCTTTCCTGCTTGCTTCCGGTGAGCCTGACATCATGATGAGGCAGAAGACTTGGTGGTGGTTTTTCCATCTTGTCGGTGTAGTTTCTCCCGGTGTTTGCCACTTTTAGATACCCTTTAATCGGCACATCTCCTTCTTTGCGGCTGACTCAACCTAAATCAGGTAATACCGACCTGGCAGTGGGGTTTCCTTCTTGACGGTGGGGTGTTTCCGCAAAGCTTCTTGCCACATAATGCTTGGTTTGAAGTGCCGATGAAATGTGCCCTTTCCGCCTCTTCTTCACTTTGCCGACTCACCCTTTGTTATGGCTTCAGCTCCTGATGTGGGCTTCAAGGTAATCTTTTATATTGTTTTGCATATATATAGACTTTGTCTCCTTCTCTTTATCTTTGATATTTTTGCTACTTCTCTCTCTATACAACACTTCAGGTGAGGTTTTAATTTAATTTTAATATTGTATTATTTATGCTTTATGATGCTTGTGAATTCAAAGGCTTGAATATTGGTGCTTCATAGTTGATATCCCTCTCGGGATCGGTCATGAAGGGGAATCAAAATCAGCAATTTATTTTATTTACTTTGTGATGTTGTGATTTTCTTCTTTGTGATTTTGTTTGGTGCAAAATTAGAAGACTATGCCTCCAGTCACTGATTGCTTATGTTGTATTGTTCTCTACAAATCTGGTTAGGGTTTACTAACTCACGTACTATTCTAATATCCATTCTGATTAGGAGTTGCCGTTAATAACTAAAGAGTGACTGGAGGGAGAAGAAGCATCAGGGGAGGTATGAGGTAACAAGAAAACAACAGCTTCAAACTGTTACGCCTTCATGCTAACTAAAATACTGAAGTTTCTTGAAATTTTGAACAAAGAAAGGTATCTATTTGTCTTTCACAATTTCAATGACTTATTTTTTCAACATGGGGGTTTGTTTTTATATTTTAATAATTTTCATAACATTCTTTTTTTGTTACAAATATTTTTATTTGGAAGTGCAGTAACTAGATTCAATTGACAGGAGGCTTCTTCTAATCCTCGTGACTGATTTAAAGTTGTATCTAATGGGATTAACGTATATTCCTACCCCCTGTCCAGGACAGCTGACATTTTTGACTACGTTTTCTTCCCTATTCTTAGTAACAGGTTAGCCAAAAAAAAACATATTCTAACTCTATTTCAGATTTAGTATATAGTGATGTGGGATTCTCTTTATTTGCTTGCTTGGGTTATAAATCAAAAGAATTACCTTTATTTTAAAATGCTATTTTAACCAAGTTTTGTCTCCCGAAGATTCGATAGAACAATGTTGAATTTCCTCCAGAGGAGAAGGTCAATGTTTGGTTTTTTAGTTATTGTTCTTTAGTATTATATGTAAAGCTACGAGATGTAATTTATTTTTTTGTTCCCAAGTTGGGGTTTTAATATAGTTTTATTATGTAAATTTTCTCCCTCAAATCTTCTCTTTGGATAGCCAAGCTAGCTGACCCGCAATAGCAAGACTTCAAAGAGCTTCAAAAGCTTCATGATGCATGCATAAGTTGGTGCATCTTTCAGTTGACGATATTTTAATTTCATCTTATTTTGTGAAATTGCAACATAATTTCTTCCAGAAACTATTCATCCAGCAGTAGTTTTGATTTTATGTTATATCGTTTGCATACATGTGGAAAATTTTAGATTATTTTTAAAGTTTTCATGTCAATACTTTGTTACTTTCACCTCAGTTTCATTGACTTCTATATATATCGTAGTTTTGACATGATAATAACATATTAAAGTTGCAGTATTATCTTAGCATGTTTGGTTTTTAGCCAAATCTAAACAAAACTACCTGATAAAGTCATAGTAGCCATTAGTTTTCATCTAAATCTAAATAAACATGGATAAATGACTCTAGGACATAAAATAACTCAGTTAATCACAAACATCAAAGATGCCACAACGTTGTGGTCGTGATGCTGGAC